ATATGCCAAAAAAATAAAAAAGAATAATGTGATAATTTATAATAATTTTTTAAGTCCTCAAACAATACCTTAGATTGTGGAGGGTACAACACATTCAAAGATTATTATGGGTTATTATGGAAAATATGTTAAAAGTTGATTTTTAATTTTTTTAATTTTTTTTAAAAAATATATATTAAAAAAAATAGAGAAATAAATATATTCCAAAAGAGATTAAAAAGTCAGAAAATAAACATTTTGCCCATTTGTCAAAACAAGTCTATATATAAAAAAAGCTCTTATTGATATGTACCAGCACTTTCTTTTGAAAAGTTATCCTCCAATAATAATAAAGAAATAATGTATACAAAATATCGAATTATAAAATAAAAAATATATATAAATGTGACATTTATCATTCATTGAAGTGACAGTTCTACTGTTGCATGTCATCAATAAGGAAGATAAATTTATATAATTAATTAGTTTGTATGAAACAAACCCAAATAACGGCACATTTTGTAGTTGAGAAAGTGATAAATAATAGGAAACATATACTTAAGGGCATTTTTAATGGTGTGTTAATTTTTCATTAAATCCAAATAAAAATTTGAGTAAAAAATCTTTTTGACATCAAGTACTCTAATGGAGGGTTTTGTGGCTTTGTCAAACCATCGATCGACCGGCGTGGACGACTGGACAGATGTTTGGCCGATCGATCGACCAGTATAAATTTTTCACAAATTTTCTTCTTGAGGTGGTCATTTGAGAGGGCCAGTGTAATTTTTTTATAAATTTTTGCCTTGAGGTGATCATCCGGGAGGTTAACTAGGGAGCCATCCGGTGGTGAAAATCCAACAACAATGAACATTGATTTAATGAAAGGTGTGTTGATCCTCAGTTTGATGATAAAAAAGTAAAATTCTTGATTTGATACCGATTTGATAAAACCATTAGAGTTGAAAAATGAAATTTTTTTCATCAAACTCAAATTTGATAATAAATTTGATACACCTGGAGATAGTCCAAGTAAGAATAAAATAATCATATAATATCATTATATGCTATTGAATGAGAATAAAGATACTAACATATTCAATTTTACATCCAAACACACACATGTATAGAGATTAACTGTATGAATCTTACATACAAGAGTGTGGATTCACATACTCTCTTCTCTGTAAATGTATTTGGCTGTAGAAATAGATGAAATCACATCGATAGGCGTGACAAATGAGCCAAATAAGTCGAACAATTAAATATTCATATTTAGTTTGAAAACTAGTTTCAAAATTTAATCAAGTTCGGTTCATTAAACTTTCAAACCGATCTCAAATAAGTTTTTGTCCAGTCAAGTTCCAATAATTTAGTATTTTTATATAATTTTAAGCTTATCAAATCGAGCCAAACAAGTAATTAGCAATTCAAGTTTGATAACCTTAAGGGGTTGGCCTGATGGTAATAACTTGGGCTTGGGGTGTCATCCCTCCAAGATCTTAGGATTAAAATCTCTTAGGTACAAATAATTTCTTGGGATCAATCCATATTAGGTTTTTCCTTACCTTTAATTGAGAACTCTACAGGTGTATGGTAGGTTGGTTCCCCAAATTAGTCATTCCAATAGATTGGTTACCAAGTTGTAAGAATATATATATTCAAACTTAATATTTTAATGAGATTTGAAATGCATTCACAATTTACTTATTTACTTAATGAATTGAGCTCAAAGTATTTGCTTCGTTCATCACCCTCACGTAATAGCATGGTTGATTGAAAGAAAATTCACAAGTCAAGTGTTTATAATTACGTGCACGTTTTGGGAGTAGCATTCAGTGACTTCTTTATTGGTGTGCTTCTGTGCTTTATGTAGCATGTGGGGGACTGGGAATGGGACGAATTAATGGTCCATCAACATGAAAGCTTGACTTCCCCAGTCCATCTTTGATTTACAACATGTAATCACCACCGTTCATCATCTTCCTCTGATTCTAAGCATGGGTTTTGGGCCGTTTACTAATTTTCATCTATGTACTCCTGAGGAGTAGCTAAGTTCGTTGTTGTGGGAATGTGAAGTTTTGTGATAAGCAGTTGGGTCATACTAACCATAATCCATTAGACTATGGAAAATTATTTGGTCACGCCAATAATAAAATGTCATTCTCATTTACTTGTCATTCCTAACCGTTCAATATAAAATGATAAATTATGTGTGATAATGAAATTATTTGAAAGATGATGAATCCACCTTGAATATTACATTCTCATTTGGCATAAATCGGATAGACACTCTGATATTTAGGTCATAATCAAACTTTATAAAGATAAAAGGTGTAAGTATAGAATTTGTATGTAAAAAATTGTGCCTCATCCAATTGGAATGTAAGCTTTTTATAAAGCATGAATGTCTTTACTAGAATCACAAACTCAGGTTGTTACCCCATTTGTGGGATAGTGGCTCTTTATTTAAAGGTTTAGGCGTAAGTTGAAATGTCCCATAATACTCTTCACCAATAAAAAATTTAATTGAGTAACTATATTTTTTGTGTTATAATTTTACCTAAAAATTTTAATTTTGTCTTTATCTCTATTCCTCATATCATAATCCTAATCTTTCCCCCATCCTTAGCACATTACCAGCCTCGGTCATTACTGTCGCTCGCCGTTCTCCAACTTACCTTGCCAATTCAGACCTCTTTTCAGCTTATCTTTGCTACTCCCTTCCTTAACCCTAATCCTCTACTCCATTCTCTTTCTTGAGTTACTCTCTCTCTCATTCATCTCTTTGTCTCAGTATTGAAGGTTGTGGGGAAATAAAAAGGGATTGATGGTGATAGAGAAGAGACTGCTGAAGGTGGGGTAGAAGAAAATAATAGAAGGACACTATTGAAGGTCAGCAGATGATATGAGAGGATAAAAAAGATAGGAAGAACGCCATCAAGGATAAGAATGGGGATTATAGAAAGAAGTTGGCATGGGTTGAGGTCCAAATTAGTGACTATGATGGGTGTAAAAAGAATAACTAAATAAATAGTAAAATAAAAGGGTCTAATTTAGGTAGGGTGGAAGTACAATGTAATAGGTGGGGGCTATGCATAATTGGGAATGATCGTTCATGTGATGGGGTAGAAGAAGTGGGACGCACACGTGAAAAGGAAACATTCAGAGCCCACAAAGCAAGAGAGATTCTCTTCAATTAGCCGTTTTCACACACACTTTGATGCCCAAGATTCGACTCTTAATCCATTTCACACCTAAAAAGTCTATTTCATTAAAATAATGTAAAAATTTTAAAAACTTCAATAAGAATATCATGATAGCTTTGAGATTATGATTGTTTTAGTCGGAAGGTAGTAAAATTGGATTAATAATTCAATTAAATTTACATAGATCAGATTTGTTTTGGAATAACTAAGGAATTTCTTCCAAAATGGTATTATGGGTTGATTTAACGATTCAATCTCAAGAGATTAAAGATAAAAATGCTATTATATTATCACTTTATAAAAATGGCAAAGTTATTTTTTATATATTGAGAGTTTTTATGTAAATTTATAGATTTAATTATAACTAACTAATATCACTATACTACTATACGAACTAACACTATTTATCTTACATCTCAAAACCTTTTACATGATGTGCGCTTCACTTTTTTTGTGGATCCACTCCCACTTGAGAGTGTTGTTTGGTGATTAGTTTATGTGCAAATAAAAGAATTAAAAATTTTAAAGGTGGATTTTTTTTAAATTTTTTTTTCTTTAATTGTTAGATAGTTAAAGAAAAATGTTATGGATCCCAAATAATCTACTAAATTTTTTACCAAACCTATACATGTGAATTTGTGTAAGTCCCACACTCATGTAAGAGATTTGATAAAAAATTTAATAAATTATTTGGAACCCCTAACATAACTTTAGTTAAAAGACAATAAATAATCCATCTAACATATTTATAATTTCTTATTTATTAAAAATATTACTCCTTCCGTCCCAAAATATTTGATTAGTTTATGCGCAAATAAAAGAATTAAAAATTTTAAAGGTAGATTTTTTTTTTACTTTAATTGTTAGATAGTTAAAGAAAAATGTTATGGATCCCAAATAATCTACTAAATTTTTTACCAAACCTATATATGCGAATTTGTGTAGGTCCCACACTCATGTAAGAGATTTGATAAAAAATTTAATAAATTATTTGGAACCCCTAACATAACTTTAGTTAAAAGACAATAAATAATCCATCTAACATATTTATAATTTCTTATTTATTAAAAATATTACTTCTTCCGTCTCAAAATATTAGTCCCTTATTCCATTTTTTATTATCCCAAAATATTAGTCCCTCTTCAAAAATCAAGTATAAAATTAATATAAATTTTCTATTTTACCCTTATTTTAAATTAATAAACAATATAAAAAGTACAATTACGACATTGATATTTTCAAAAAAATGTACTATCAAAAGGGTAATTTTGAAAAATCAACTTTTTTAAAATGTAATAATTGTATTATTAAAAAAAGTTAGATTCCCCAAAAAGGACCATTATTTTGAGACAGTGGAGTATATAAGATAATATCAAATATTTACAGTTTCTTATTTATTAAAAATATTATATAAAATAATATCACATATTTACAATTTCTTATTTATCAAAAATATTATATAAAATAATATCACAAAATATTTTGAAGGGATAATTTTTCACCGTAAACAATAAAAACCAAAGTGGGTAAGGTCAAACCCAATCACCCCCTGGTAGGGCGTCCCAATCCCATAGTCCCTCAAAAGAAGTGGGGTAAGGTCAAACCCAATCACCCCCTGGTAGGGCATCCCAACCCCATAGTCCCTCGTGGCAATCCAGATTGGTTTTGACCCATTCCCTCCCACCGCCACCCTGCCCTCTCTCTCTCTCTCTCCCCCCTCTATATTTAACACAAACCTCAGCAGCTCTCAAACCTTATTCTCTCCCACACCAAACATTAAAATCCACAACAGCAAAAAAGAAAAAACAGAGTAAGATGGGAAACTGTATTAAAAAAGAGTCGCCAACGCAATGGGGAGGCGAAGACTGGGGATCTCCGGTGTCGGAAAAATTAATTTCCGGCAACGACAAGGTGACGAAGATAGAAGAAGATCAGAAGAGGACTTCTTCTTCGACCGAGGTGAAGATAAAGATTACAAAGAAGCAGTTGGAGGAGTTATTGGGTAGAATGGAGTTACATGGGATGTCTTCGGAAGATGTGCTTGATCAGCTGATCAACGGCGGTGATCAGAAGTACCAGACTCGTCAGAGGTCTTGGAGGCCTTCCCTGCAAAGTATTCCAGAGGTCGATTCATGAGTTCGTCTGTGATCATGTGTAAATGAATAGGTTTTTTTTTTCAGAATCCATTCTTGCATATTTGTTTAGTTTAATTACACTAAGACCCCATTAGTGAATATCACGTTACTTTGTTTCTTTATGAATTTGTAATTATAGAAACTGTATACAAATGTTCCTCTTTAATTTAGAGTTGAACGAGATAAAATGAACAAATACATAAATATGATTTTTGAAGAGTCTTAGTTTAATCAAATCTTCTTTGCTTTTGTATTATAGAAATTTCCTAGATTTTCTTCTTTTCATGTAAATTTCTGTTTTGTTGGGTTTTGATCTCATACAGAAAGTAAAATGGGTTCTTTCTCTACAGTTACTTCTAAATCCTCTGTGTATATATGTATATATATGTATGTGTGTGTGAATCTTGTGATAGTTTTTTTGTTGTACCTGTTTTGCTCTGGATGTTGGTTGCTTACCAATTTGGGGTTTGGAGTTAGTGCTAGCAGATAATTTTGTGTGCTTCTTGGTATCAACCTAGTTGAGATCTTGATGTACCACTGTGATACTTTTTGCACCCTCTTCTTTATTGATGTATTTTTACATATTTCGTATGTTTTTCCATCAATAAAACTTCTTTTTGCTAATAAAAAAAAAAAAAAATTATGTCTCAAGATCTAGTATTTCAAAATTTTCATGAGTAAACGGGTGGTTGTTTTGAAATAAAGTGAGTATATATATATATAAAGGTGAATACGAACAAGGATTACTTGCATGATTTAAAGTATCAATGATTACTTGCATGATTTAAAGTATTTATGATTTTTGTTCCTGCTATTGAAATAGGATTCTCTTCAGTCATGAAGATTAACTGGACAATTTACTCCAGCATTTTGCCAATGTCATATTGTCAGTTTTGATTATTCGATCTGATTCAATAGAATAATCATACATATTTAATTATATTTATTTAAAAAAAATTAAATGACAAATCTGATTTTGAGAGTATACTATTTATTTCTCTTAAAAAAAAATAATAAAATGATATAACAATAATTATTAAATTAATGATCTACACATATAAAATTAAAATATGATTGGATTGAATCATCAAAGCCAATAATATGGCATCGGCGTATCGCTGGATTGGTTTGTCCACTGCTTCTATCTTATTGGAGAGAAGTTGGTTCTTTTTTACTAATGTATCAATTTAAAATGAATATGAAGGTCAATAAATATGATCATGATAATAGTGATGTAATTCAATATATAATTAACACAAAGAAAGTCTTAAATTAAGAGATAAAAATTCCCAAACAAATACACAATACACAGGTGAAATGTTTTGCATTTCTAACATCCAACTAAAATTTAAAGATTCTGTCAATGGCCAAACCATAGTTGTTGAGTATTAATTTATGGGTTATGAATCTATATTTTTTTCCTTATATTTTTTACTCTCTAACTAGATGAGTGCACATTAATTATTATTATGATACAAAAATAAGGATATTTATATTCAATAAAAGGGAAGAATATTGGGTCAAACAAGGCACAAAATTTAAAAGAACTAGCCTTTTTTTTTTTTTTCCAACTAGAATTTAAAAGAACTAGTCTAATATTTACTGAGATGGAGAATTTTATTTATTTGTTTTTGGTTGGTAAGAAAAAAAAAAATGTATATATGCGTAAGCTTTCTTAAAACTTTGATGTGATTTATAACTTTACACTTTGAAATTTTCTATTTTGCATAGATGAAAGGAGAACTACTCTTTCTCTGCTAGCTCATTTATGCACCGAATAGTCTAATATAAGGCCATGTTTATTTGGGCGGACTGAATTAGTATTTCCATGACTAATAGTCCTAGGACTACGAATCTGTTGGATTATGTATCCTATCTTAACTAATAATCAAGTTTAAAATAATTAGTCCGTACTTCAATTGTTTAACCAAACATCGGATTAATAATTTTATTGGACTATTAGTCCAATCACAAGCTCATGTCCACCCAAACAAACATGACCTAAGTGGTTTCAATGAAACATCCATGGATGTTACTTTTTGTTTAGGGAAAAGTTTTTGTTTGTTTTTTTTCTTTCTAATCTTGTTATTTGTATTGTACCACAAAGATGTTGAAACTAACAACTTCTTTAGGTGAGGACAATGATGATCATAAATGCTTTGTAATTTTTAAAAGAATAATGTTATATATATATATATATATATCAATTGGTATATTAATTAGTATAATATCACCATTTTTTAAATTATTATGTGAAAGAAAAAGTTTATGATTTCATAATTATGTTGGATTTTTTTAGCCTTGGTTGTAAGTCGTAATTAGAGCGAAATAAAATATAAGCCATCGCTGACAAGATAATTACTTACATTATTATTAACAATTATATTACAAAAGCAAAAAAAAAATCATAGATTTGGACATAAAACACAAATTAAGAACACATGATTTTTGTAAGCTTTTTAAAAATTTGTGGGTTCCTAAAAATTATGTTACTTTTTTTGGGTGTTCCTCATGCATTATTAGATCATTAATCCGAATGTTGGAGTACATAATATATAATTTAGTGTATAGTGAATCACATTGAGAATTAGTACGATACAAACGTTTTTGATCAATTTTGGGGTCACTTTTATTTTTTTTTTTTGGGTCCATTATCCATAGCATTATTGAAAAGAAAAAAAAAAAGAAAGTAGTTCAAAAAGTGCAAGAAAATAAAGTGTATTTGTATAAATACAAATTTATTGTGTTCTAGGTTAATTTAGTTCACACACTTTTATTTTTTGAATCATTTTATGAATATATTTTTTGGTCAAATTGTACTAACCTCTCCTGAGGTGTAAAAAAAATTACACTAAATCTCACAATTTTAATATAATTACACCGATTTTCTTTTTAATAAGATTGAATGGATCAAAATTAATACAAATAGTTTAAAGGTTCATAGGAAAAAATATACATTTTAGTGTAAAAAGGCACAATGATAAATACAAAAAACATATATATTTTAGTGTAAAAAAGATAACAATTATTTTTTTCATCCATATGACTTATTGATGAACAGTGACGAAATAATATATGAATTAAAATCTTAAAAAAATTTAATATAATTTTATCAAAATAATAAAATTTATTATATTTTTATAAACTTTAAGAAAAATGAGCGTAATTTATTTTTTATTTTTCAATTCAGTAACATTCTTGTAATGGATAAACGTTGTTGACGTAGCAACTCGATCTGATTGCGTACTTGAAAGTGATATTTCAAACTGATACTTTTGTCAAATGCTAATTTTTTTAAAAAAACTAGTAATTAGATTGGGGCTTTGTTGGAAAATACGTTACTTTAGTAATTTTTAAATTTTTTATGAAAAAATATATAAAAAAAATAAAAAGTAATGTGATAATTTATAGTAATTATTTAATTTTTTGACTAAAATATATACAGGCTTTTTTGGTTATTTTAGCCACAAAAAATAAAATAGGCTATTTTAGCCATAACAAACAAAACATCACATCCAACCCATAATCATTACATTTTTCTCTCACAAAAAAATTCAAAAAAGCCAAAAAGTCAAAAAGTCCTTCCCAAACCAAACTTTTAAGCCCAGGCTAAAATAGCCAAAAAGACAACCCACTTCCCAAAGTGTATAGTGAATCACATTGAGAATTAGTACGATACAAACGTTTTTGATCAATTTTGGGGTCACTTTTTTTTTATTTTTTATTTTGGGTCCATTATCCATAGCATTATTGAAAAGAAAAAAAAAGAAAGTAGTTCAAAAAGTGCAAGAAAATAAAGTGTATTTGTATAAATACAAATTTATTGTGTTCTAGGTTAATTTAGTTCACACACTTTTATTTTTTGAATCATTTTATGAATATATTTTTTGGTCAAATTGTACTAACCTCTCCTGAGGTGTAAAAAAAATTACACTAAATCTCACAATTTTAATATAATTACACCGATTTTCTTTTTAATAAGATTGAATGGATCAAAATTAATACAAATAGTTTAAAGGTTCATAGGAAAAAATATACATTTTAGTGTAAAAAGGCACAATGATAAATACAAAAAACATATATATTTTAGTGTAAAAAAGATGACAATTATTTTTTTCATCCATATGACTTATTGATGAACAGTGACAAAATATTATATGAGTTAAAATCTTTAAAAAATTTAATATAATTTTATCAAAATAATAAAATTTATTATATTTTTGTAAACTTTAAGAGAAATGAGCGTAATTTATTTTTTATTTTTCAATTCAGTAGCATTCTTGTAATGGATAAACGTTGTTGACGTAGCAACTCGATCTGATTGCGTACTTGAAAGTGATATTTCAAACTGATACTTTTGTCAAATGCTAATTTTTTTAAAAAAACTAGTAATTAGATTGGGGCTTTGTTGGAAAATACGTTACTTTAGTAATTTTTAAATTTTTTATGAAAAAATATATAAAAAAAATAAAAAGTAATGTGATAATTTATAGTAATTATTTAATTTTTTGACTAAAATATATAATTGATAAACGAGACTAAGAAAAAACAGCCCACCTTAAAAGATAAGGATATATTAATAATTTTCTATGGGCGAATTACACTAACAGTTCTTATAATTTGGAGTTCGTGTCACTTTGATTCCTGATTTTTTAATTGTGACACATTTGATTATGAATTTTGAATTTTGTTTCAAATAAGGATAATTGAAGATACCATTACTTAATTACAAGGGTAAAATCATCAATTTGATAAAATATAAACTAATTTGATAAAAATAAAACTTTAATTTTTATTTTTATTTTTAAAAATTATTACTATCCACCAAAGATAAAATTATATAAAATTGATAAATCTTTTAAACATTTATTTATTTATTTATTTCACCAAATTAATTTTTATTATATATTTGGATGATGATCATGTAATGAGGGTAGTTGTTAAGTTTTTAATGTGTAATCGATATATTTAATATATGAAATATTTTTAGTTTTGGATTTT